ACATCATTCAGCCCAGGCTTTTGGAAAATGTATCATACTCAAGAAACAGTAGTAGCTGGACTTGAGGGAAGCCTATCCTACAATAATCTTTTATAACTAGCAAAAACTGTGGCTGAGATTCAATTGCAGAAATGCCTTAACGAGCGTTTTCACAATGACAACACAAATCTTCTCTCTCCCTTTTTCTTTCAGGTTAAATTACACCTTGAGCAAAAAGTTGCCAAATGCTTTAAAAAACTGCATAATATAAGAGTATGAATAGCATCACAAATTGGTATTATGTTCTGTAACACCTCTCAGCCTCAGGTTTAAATTAGAAGATGGGGGCAAACACATTAGTTTCACCACCTTGTTATTATGTCTTTTTCCACAATGATTATTTCAGTTAGACAAAATCACTTTCTCATCCCTACAAAAAGATATTTATTCCCAGTGCCATGCTTTTCACAGACTTTCTGCACCAATTATAATGAAATTATTTGACGATACAGACAACAAATGCAACAACTTAGAAGCTGAAGAGATACTATTTAAGCAGCATGAGGGACTTGTAAGTAGTGTTAGATTTTTCTTTCTAAAATAACAGAAACCCAGCAAAGCAGTAGAGTGCATGTGTAATTTGAGGTAGCTCTTCGAAGACCCATGGAACTTAGTGACCTTTTTTATCTTCTTAACATCAATTTGAGAGCACTGAGGTCCTCCAGTGTGGAAGAAAACACTCTGAAACGGTCAACAACAATGTATAGGAAAAGTGAAATCAAATTTAATTTTATTCAGGTCATATGTTGGAGTAGTAAAGTGCAGCATATGATCATGTGAAATACTGATGCAAGAAAATTTAATTCAATGCTAACATGAAAGCTGAAGACTGCTGTTTTCATGAAGACTAAAATGACTGTAAGTGACAACAAAACTCAGTTCTCATCCAGAAAGTTCCAGTACTTTGTCAGAAAAAAAAAAACAGTATCAAACAAGTCAAATCAGATCCTAATTTTTTGGCAGTAAACAAATCCAAGGCAAGTCATTCACTCAGGTGATATGTGTTGCTACCTCAGATACAGATATCAAATAAATACAATACTACAAATGGCCTACCATTCCATAAAAATGAAATACTTGTTACTATGTCTATGTTACTACACCCTTGACAGTAGGGACACTCTCTATTACACACAGTGTAATACATTCAGCTGGTCTTTTACAACCTATGGTGCAAAGATTCCTTCAAACCAATGATTGTGTGTGACATGCTGATCTATTCAGTTTTCACCACGAAGAAGGATCATAATAAAAGACGAGCAAAGCTAGCTTATAGTAAGCTGTAACACTAATACCTCTCCATATTGTTGATGGCCCTGCTTGTGGCCTGTGAGGCATTGGAACTTGATGATCCTTGAGGTCTCTCAAAGAAACACAGAGGAGATAAAGAAGCAAGTGGAAGTTACATCTTGAATAGTATTTTTCCTGAATGAAATAGTGTTGAAAATCTACCTGAATTTTGTCTTGAAAAAAAGGAGAGTACATACTGACTCCATTATCTAATCAATGTCTTTTCAGTAAGGTGAATGTATGCACATGCGTGCATGCAGACCACACATATTATTTAAACAAAAAAGGATGTTCAGATTTAAGACCAACATAAACCTCACTAATTTCTCCCACCTCCAATCCTTTATGTTGCACCTGGCATTTTGGATGCATTAAGTTCATCTGAAATTGCCTGCTCCGCTGTTTGAAAGTCCTAATATTTGAATTTTTCCATCTAGATATCCTGAGCTTTGATAGAAATTTAAAAGTGGCATATGATCATAAGGAAAAAAAAGTTTAATACTCAGTTTCACAGCACAGTTTTTCCAACTGTTATCAAAATAATATATTGAATAGCATAGCCAAAAGGGAGTTATGTATCTAGAAACAAAGATAGTAACATTGATTAAACCATATGCTATCAAATTAATTTTCAACTGCTTCATGCTGAATCCATTCAGTAGGTAAAGTTATTTAGTAATATTAATATTGGCATTTTACAATCACCTGTACAGCAAGACTAAAATTTTCTTAGTTCTATAGTTGACAATCACTTAAATAGGATGGGTAAATTAAATGCAAAATACTACTAAATGCTTTCAGGCTCTAAAGAGCCAAATTCTGACATGCTTACACTTTTCAAGTAATATTTTATACATACTTTCATTGATTCCTATAAATGCCTTTGTAGATGAAAGCAACAAAGAAAGCAGAAATGGGCCATAGCCTCTTGTCACATTGTACACTACTTTCCATAATATACAGTAACACAACAGATTTACAACAGCATTACTGAGAACAGAATTATCTGGGCTATTTGCCATCTGCATTTCAAGCTTAAATATGAAAGGTCAGTCATTAGGTGCCTGAAATAAACATGCTTTACTACTGAGGTAAACATTTTCAATGAAGAACATCTGGCTGACTTTCATTCAGCACAGTGACATTGTTTTTCTTTATTTATGGGTTGCATGCGCAACTGGTATACAAGCAATAGTGTCAAGCTTGCTTTTTAACTGAATCATACAACTTGCATCCATTTTATAGTATTTCTACTGCATTGCTGTATATTTGTATACACTAAATCTAATTATAATGCTTTTATCTAAGAAATTACACTTCTGCCATCAGCTTTATAACCACTAGGATTCACACTGTAATCTCATCGAGGGATTGTAATTCCTAAAGGATAATTCACAGACACGTACATGCACTGGCAATAAAAACATTCCATTGATCCTGCACAATTGTGGAAGGAGCTATATATAGCTAACATTATTGTGAGCATATGTTGTGCCTGCAGGAGGATCTGATTAGATGAGATGCTTGGAACAATTCCACGAAACAACAAATTGAGATAATGAGTGCACTGAATAACTAAAGCCTTGCAGACATTTATGGACATGCTTAAATTCATGCACACTGCTAATCCCATTTGAATCAGACTTTGCCTTTGCATAGACAACGCAGATCCAGAGTTAGATGCTAGATATTTATATTTCATATCAGTAGAGTATCAGTGCACCCTACAGTCGTGAAAAGTTTTATCTACTTACCAGCTCCTCAAGATGGAAAGCAATGATTTGTTCTGAAGTCATAAACACAAAAGGAGAACAGCTTTTCTTTTCCTAAATCATTGCTAACAATTCGATTGTTTTTGCTACCTTGAAATAATCCCAGTAAGTATGCAATATAAATTCATACCTTGAATCCTTCATTAAGTATTCTGCAATCTGCTTATGGAGTAAGTACTCTGCAATCTGCAATCCACAAGGAGATATTTCTTATCTCCTTTCTCAAATAAGGACTATCTAAAATGGAACAAATAAACAGTGGGATGTTCCAAGCTACCATAAGCACGCTGAAGTGAAAGTATGCTCTTTTTTTTCAGTAAATGATCAAGTATAGTTACAGATTATCATTCAGTTGCCACTAAGGTTGTATCTATGCTGACACTGAAGATAATGCAATTTTTGGAAACAAATTACAATAAAACCTCTTGTTAATACAAAACATTATCTTTCCAAAACACAAGTTTCAGAGAATCATAGAATCATTAAGTTTGGAAAGACCACTAATATCATCTAGTCCAAACACTAACCCATGCTTTTGACTGCTCTAGACTACAACCCTCAGTATGACATCTACCCTTTTCTTGAGAACTATCCTTCTTGAAAACTTCTGGTTACTCTACACCCTCTCCTCCCCCCCACCTTCCCCCACCCCCATGGGCATCCTGTTGCAATCACCATTCTTTCAGAGAAGAAATTTTTCCTAACATCCGACCTGAACCTCCTTTGGCACAACTTGAGGCCATTCCCTTTAGTCCAACTGCTAGCTATGTGAGAGAAGACGCTGACCCCCACCTCACCACAACCTACATTGCATCTACAGGGTTGTAGAGCACACTAAAGCCTCCCCTGAGCCTCCTCTTCTCCAAACTGCACCATCCCATTTCCCTCAGCCACTCCTCATAAGACTTGTGCTTCAAGACCTTTCACAGCTTCACTGCTGTTCTCTGGACATGCTCCAGCACCTTGATGTCCTTCTTCTAGTGAAGAGCCCAAAACTGAACACACCAGTCAAGGTGCATCCTCACCAGTTCTGAGTACAGGAACGATCATCTCCCTGCTCCTGCTGGCTGCTCTATTTCTGCTGCAAGCCAGGATGTCACTGGCCTCTTGGCTAGCTGAGCACACTGCAGGCTTGTGTTCAGCTGACTGTCAACTAGCACCCCCATACCCTTTTCTTTCATGCACCTTTCCAGCCACCTTGCCCCAAGCCTGTATTAATGAATAGGATTTCTGCAACCAAAATGTTGCATCACATACTTGGCCTTGTTAAAACTCGTACAATTGGCTTCAGTCCATTGATCTAGCCTATCCAGATCCATCTGAGCCTTCCTACCTGACAATTTGGTGCCTGCAAGCATACTGAGGGTACTCAACTCCTTCATCCAGTCTGTCATTTTTGCAGGCTCAATAAGAATCATCATTATAACCTGGCAGTCGGGGCAAACCACATTAGGTACAGCCAGTCAAAAGAGCTGATTCTCCCATTATATTCAGCATGCATCTGGCCTCACCTTGTATTTTGTGTACAGTTCTGGGCTCCAAAATACAAAAAAGGGATGAAGGACCTCTGAAGTGCTCAGAGGAGTCACCAGTGCTGGTGACAGGGCTGGAAGCACAAGCTGAGGGCTCGTAGAACAGGCTTCCTAGTGAGATGGTTGGTGCCCTGTGCCTGTTGGTGTTAATGAGGCATTTGAATAATGCCCAGAGAACATGCTTTAGCTTTTGGTTAGCCCTGAAGTAGACAGGCAGCTAGACCACAGTGGAACCACAGCTCTCCCAAAAAAACACTCTGACACAGAATTTAAGTACATCAATACGCATTTCAAGAGTAGAACTTCTAAATCGTATGCAATGTTGATCTTATCACATGTTTGCAAACTGTAAAAAAGAAAAACATACCTAACAGGCGATTCTGGGAGATGCATTCAGCCATAGATTTCAACTTCTTGACTTTCAGATGAAACGTGATCAAAAATTAAGTTGGGGAATGATTGTAGAAAATCTTTCCAAAATAGCTGCAATAGAAAAGAAAAAAAAATATATTAAAAAGTGAAATGATGCTATGATGACAATATAATAGGTTCTACCATTATCCATCATCCTGTTCCATTGTAAGGGCCTATATGGATTGGTCTGCACAGTTCCAGTCACCATCTCTTTAAAAGAAATACATTCAATAAGAGATAATATCAGAGAACACTGATCAAAATGAGCAAAGGAGACATAATAGAACAGCATAGGATAAGCAGTGCAGAGAAAGTAAAATTAGGGCCCCTTTCTTTATATTTTATGACACAATGCAAAGGGAGCATCCAGTAAAAAGGAAAAGCAGAAAACTGAAATACCTGTAGAACTCCAAAATTAAAAAAATAAAAGATATGAAAATATACAGTTATGTAAACATCCACAAATGCAATAATAAAATTGCAGGAAGTCATTAAGCTTCACATTTTAAGGTTTATATTCTAAATCATTTTAATCTACTGGAGATTCAATGTGACTTAATGTGGGTTACATTATTCCCCATCTGTTTTCAGAAGCAATATTGTAACTTCTTTTGAAGCATGTAGACCATTTATATCAAGAAGAAGGAAACTGTTGGGATATATTTTATAGATATGACTATAATATAAGGTCTAGAATGTTTTCAGCTTGTTAATAACTCTGCAGAACAGATAAAAATAGTTTAATTGGATGCATCCATGTTTTTCCACGGTTACTAAAAAAGGTATTAAAATATTCCATTATCCTAATTGAATTGTGCAAGTTGAAGTTGAAAAAAATTACTGGAGCATATAAGAAATGCATTTGAACATAAAAATATAGTTGCTGTAGAAAAACAGTTTCTGTATAAGAAAAAGAAAATAGCATTATCATCCAAAGTGACACAGGAGCTAGAAGTGGCTTCCTAGTTTTAAAAAAGTGTTGCAATTTCTTCACCAAGATGCAAAAGACCACATGCAAATAAAACTTATTAGATTTTAGAATAGAAAAATATTTTAGACATAATACTATATTTCAAAATGTATTTCTCTCTTGTGATTCAGTATTCTGAAAGCCTTTTTCAAAGCTCTGAACTCCTTTTAAAGATGGGTGAAAATGAGTCACCTCAACTGATCTGGAAGAAAAACAAGTGACAGTTGCCTTGGGTTAACCAGCAGAACTGGTGCACATTCAATGATAGAAAAAGAGAGTCATCTGAAATGTTTACCTCAAAAGCTGTCTAAACCAGTCTAGCATTCCTGGAAATAGTCATGGGGATCACAGCAAGAAACCAAGAGATCTTTCAATACATGAACTTGCTAATGACTGATTTTTAAAGTAATAGCGTTAAATGCATTTTATGACTTTCATTACCTACATTATCACAGAAATCTTAATTTCATAGCTTCTTAAGCACGATGACAAAACGACCAATAAACTAGCAACAGGAGAGAATCCCCTAGCATGAGAAATTGTGCAGGCTCTGGCTAAGAGGGTGCATTTATTTCATTCAATATCTGCCAGACATATGGCTTTATCAAAGTATTACAATTTCTTCAGGCTTTGTGTGCAACAGAAAATCCAGTGCAGTGCAGAAAGACAAATCAAGGACATTCAATAACTGAATCAGAGCTCAGTTTCAATGTCACTACAAGAAACTATCAAATCATTTTTGCAGATGTCACCTTTACCACACTAAATATTGAACTCAGTGCTAGACAGCAAATTGCTGTTCACCTTACAGAAAAACATGTTGTATCAAAGCTGCATAGTTCAGAGAGGCACTCTGAACCTCCAGGTCTTTCTCAAAAGATATTAATCCAAACAAGGCACATCATTAAGTACCATAGGCACGCAATTATCCCCACTTTCAGTACATTGATTCAGGCACCACAACTGTTTTACTTAAAATAGCCACTATAGAACGGTGAGGTATCTACACCCAGAGACAAATTCACTATAAACCATAAACCCAAATTTTGAAGGTGACATAAGGAATCTATCCAATCAAATTTATTAATCACAAAGCAATGCCTTCATTCAACAGGTTCAGTGTGTCTCTTTTCTTGAAGAGATTTACACCATGAGCGAGGGTGTCAACATTGTACCAATAGAGAAAATTTTATTTATGTTTGTTTTACTATTTTAAACATGAAAAAATATGGCAGAGCTAAGGACAGAAATGCCTGCTGAATAAACAGAATAAATGCAGTACGGGAAACATTTCAGTTTCAGTTTCAGAATTTCAACCTAATGTTTGTCATTTTGGTCATACAAAGGCCATTGACTATTCAGCTAGGCTAGATGATCCCTAGAGGACAACTTGTCCACACATTCTACAAGAATATGTCCTGTGACTTATTGAAATTTTCTTTTATGAATCATCTGGATATTTTTATTAAATGATTCTAAGTTTAATTTTTTTTTTTTTTTTTAATACTGATTGATTTTTTTTTGTTGTTGTTGTTACAAACTAATATAAGAGAAAGTCTGAATTTCTTCTAATGCTATAACCAAGCCTGGAAGTTACCACACTTTAAATTTTGCTTCTTAGGTGCCTTTTGCAGCATTGTAGCTTTTTTTCAACAAGGAAAAAATTGCCAGCACCATAGTTACCAAAGTAATCATTGTTATAAGTAGCATCATTGCTTCTCTGCTGATATATTTTCAGTTCCTATTTTCTACCTCTTTTTCTCAGATTGTTTATATATATATGTCAAGAGGAAAAAGCAGTCTGAAGTACAGCTGGGTTGTCTAAGAATAATCAAAAAACTTGAGAGATGTCAAAAATGATTGAAAGGAAATATACATTTTTCATTTATATCAAACATTTGCTAAGAAGTCTGCTTTAAACTTAAAAAAAGACTTAAATATATAGGAAAAATACTGAACTAAATTTGTAAAAATGTCTTCTTCGTTTTGTTTTGTTTTTATTTTTATTTTTTTTATTTTTTTTATTTTTCTGACCAGTATTGATAAGCAGCTCTGTTCAAGCAGGCCTTCTCTCTGACAGAAGATGAGATGGAGATCCAAATTTTGAAATATCACCACCTCAAACTGATCTTTCAAACTGAAGGAGTGCCCAGCGCTGTACACAGCAAACAAACTATCACTGCTGGAGGCAGCAGGAAATTTGCCAGAAACCTAATAAATAAGCATGTCTGTACAAGGGAAAAGGAGACAGAGTTGTGGCTGTGGGACATACTCTGTGGTCTTTCAAAAAACGAAGGGGAAGGGCAAGGAGAAGGGGAAGAGGAAGTTATTTTCTGAAGAAATAGTATTTGCCGTGTACTTGGGTGGTTGTTTTTATTCCACAATGTATTCCACAGTTAGAGATTCAGTTTTCCAGCCCTGTGGAATATAGCATAGAGATTTAAGTCTCTTCAGAGCTGACAGTAACTGTCAGGAGCAGCGATGCCTAGTTGACAGTGACAGCTGACAAAGGTCATTCCTGAGTGCAAGATGAATAAAATGTTCTAAAATATTAATGCAGAAACAGCTTTAAGGAGAAAAGCATGTATGAAGAACTGACGTCCCACTTAGCAAAAGTTATCCCTAAAATTTCTATGTATTGGCTAACAACCAAAGCAATTTCTTAAAAGAAAAATGATTACAGCAAATATAATGTGTGAATAGAAGTAATCCAGTATCTAAAGCTAAGGAAAAAGCAGTTTTAATGCACGCCAAGATCTGAAATTAGTAAATCTTGGCAAACTGTGACCAGAACAAACTAAAAATAAACATCCAAAACATTACCACATCAAAATCAGTTATTTCTTTTAGTTTTATCAGCATTTCTGCATATTCATCAAAATGACTGGTCAAGCATGACTTCCCTGAGGGATTAAATTATGCTTGATGATTCAGAAAATACATGAATTTGTGTATACAATGAAGCACCAACTCAATCTTGTACTTAGATTTACATTCTTGATTGCTGGATTACAAGTTTTTAGCAGTTCTTTAAATGAGGGATAATAGTAATCCTCAGAGAACTTGAAAAACAAACAAACCAAAACTTATAATAAACATTTTCCTTGTCCCCACTTAAATCAAGAATCAGAGTATTCTTAAACAGCCAACACTCTCCTGATTCTACTGAAATATCACCCCAAATATAAGAAAATACTTCTTTCAGCGATAGAAATAACACAATCTTGTTGCACAGTGTAATTACATTAAAAATGCCCTTTATAGTCTGTTCTCACAAATTGCTTAAAGCTCTCCTAAAAATGAATTTATAAGGCAAAATTACAGTTGAATTGTAGTTGACTGCATGACAGAAAGGTCGATTCAGGAGACATTACTTTCTAGTGCATACTGATATATAGTGTGCTGTTACAGCTCAAAAGTAAAAACACAATAAAATATATGAACATGGTCAGATTTCAGCCCGTCTCAGAAGAGACTGACACATTTTGATTGTCATCAATCTATCTCCTATTTTTTCCTGAATAAAAAGACTGAACAAAGTTTAATCTACTACTACAAGTCCAATTTTCTGGAAGTTTAGCTTTTTAATAACTATTTCCAAAATCCCTTTGGATATTTTGCCCTCATTTTTGATGTCTGGAACTGGCAGCAGAATTCTGATAACATTCTTGTCACTGCAGGCATCATACAAGTGAAGCCTTGCCCCCCTATTTCTAAAAGATTTTCCCCTGATCACTTAAGGATTACGGTTTCTTTTTTTAGTACAATTCTGCAAAATATGTTCTGATAGATCCTGACAGCTTCATTCTGATCTTCATTTCCATGAATGGAAGGTATCCAAAACCAAATTATGCATCAGACAAAATGCATTAGAGAATTTTTTTTCTCGTGCTACAGATGTCTAATATAGGTCATTTTGTTCTATTGCATTCACAATCTGAATCTAGCAAAGGATTATTTAATCTTGTGTTGCTTAGAGATCATGCAAAAAGGAAAAGGAAACAGCCTTTAAACTTGCTCCCATAAATAAAAAATGGCAATTGTACACCTTGACTGGTGTCTCTATCTCCAAAATGAATAAACCAAAAAATTATGATAG